AAGTCAGGGGCTCTCTCTTGCTGACCCCAAACATGCAAGCTTCCATGAGTGCAGCAAGTAGGAAACGGAACACCACCGACCACATCGTGACCCCAGAAGAGGACCCGGGCTCGGAGGGGACCCCAGCCCCGGCTGACAGCTCGACTGCCATTTTGTGAAACCTTGAGCAGAGACCCCAGTTAGGCTGTGCCTGGAATTCTGATCCATGGAAACTGTGAGATAATAAATACTAGTTTTAATTAAGCTGCTTAAAAAAAAAACAAAACTAAACCAAAACACAACACACATTTCAGAAAGCGGTGAGTATGCTGTACCAGGTTGAATTAAGATGTAGAGAGTGATGGGGGGCCTTCATGGATTTGGATGGTCCAGGAAGCCCTCTCTCGGGGTGACTTCTAAGCGGGAGTGAGTCTGAGGAGGGAGCCCGCGAGGAGGCCTGTGGGGGAGAGCCCTATGGACAAAGGCACAGCCAGCTCCAGGGCCTTGCCAGGAAGGTTTGCACGCTCCAGGCGGGAAGGGCGGCCGGGGTGGTTGGAGGGATGTCAGGGTCAGGACAGCAGAGCAAGAGGGTGGGGGGGCGGGTAGCAAAACCCGGGTTACACAGCGCTGCCACTAAGGACAAAGGGTTTGGGTACCCCTAGGACCCATGTGCTGAGATTCTAACCCCCAAGGTGATGGTATTAGGAAGAGGGGCCCTTGGGAGGTGATTAAGTCACAAGGATGGTGACCTTGTGACTGGGATCAGCGGTTAGGGTTAGGATTAGGGCCTCATAAAAGCATCAGAGAGCAGCCCCCACCAGACGCTGCACAAGCCCATGTACTGAGTTCGGACCTCCTGGCCTCCGGAATGGGGAGAAATACATTTCTTTTGTGTATTTTGGTCCGATCTCTGGTATTTTGTCATAGCAGCCCAAGCTGGCTAAGACAGCTTCTAAAAAAAAGGTAAAGAATTTGGGTTTTACCTGTGCTCTGACTAGAAGCCTCTGGAGGGCTGGTAGCAGATGAGCGACCTGATTTACGGTTGTTAAAAAAATATGTTAACTGTGAAGGACGGATGGCTGGGTGCCGGAGTGGAGTCAGTCGGGGCGTCTAGACGGGAGGCTCCGGGTCAGCTGCGACCCGGGTGGTGGCAGAGGTCATGGGTGTCCCCCAGGAGCGTGGGCGGCGGGGAGTGGCGGGGGTCGGCCATTCACACTCAGTTTGAGGATCTGCATCCGCGCAGGGGGAGCGGAGGTTCCCCAGAGAGAGAACTACAAGTAACCGCAGCGGTCCTGTGCTCTCCCCCCGCGCCCCTCCCCCCATCCTGTGCTGTCTCTTCCCCGTGTCATCCGTCCCTGCCCTGCTGAGTGCTGCGATGACTCATCCAGATGCTAATCTCTGGCACTTGCCTGCATCCAGCTGGTGTCGCGCCAGTCTGGGCTAGCTTGGCTCCTGGAGGCCCTGCCAGAGGGGAAACGGGCTCCCCACCACCACCGCCAGCCTCCTGGCCAGGCAAAGCCGCCCCTGCGTAATTAGCGGCCTGGTCTGTGCGGCAGGCTAATCAAACAATTTGTTGCTAGTCACGTCATAAAGGTACAGCGTACCCTGTTCGGCCTGGGCACTGGTTAAATCTGGACCAGAGTGGTGCACGGCACGGGCCATCCTCCTTCATGGTGGAACAGAGAAGAGGCTGTTCATAGGATTCTGCTGGTTTGTGTTTGGTTTTGTGTTTTGGCCCTGGTGAAATTCTACCAGTGGCAACTGAAATTCCATCCTTGGACTCTGGACTCCAAATTTACCTTTTTCATGCTTGCATACCCTTCCATCTGCTCACCATGCCCTTGCCTGGCCAGCCCTGGGCCCCTGCCACAGTGGGTCCCCCCAGCTGTTCTGGAAGCTTAGGTCTAATCCTTTGGGCCCCAGTCTGTGCCCGGGTGCAGATGCCTGGAATGCCAATCTGGGCGAAAGCTTGAGCTCTGAGGCCTTTTTGTCCCATTTTGCCATAAATACCTGTAGTATAAATGATGCTTTGCCTTAGGCATGAGGTGGCTGTTGCTGGTGGCGTACATGCTGAGCACGGGAACAGGCCAACCCTATAAGGTTAACTTCTAGAGGTCAAGGACTGGTCAGGTTCTGGGAGGGTTTGGTGCTGACACGTGGTGTTCTAGAGGTCAAAGCATCCCTTCAGGGTTGACCCCTGGGCCTCTCAGTAGCTCCCTCTGCTGAGCAGGGATGGGGGAAGGACAGCTTCTGAGTCAGCTCTCTCTGCAGCTAACTGAGCCAAATTCACAGGGTCAGCAGAGGGCACATGGTCTGGGCACTGCTCCCATGGCTGTATCTGGCCTCATTGGAAAGGATATGAACTTGAGGAGGAAGAAAGTGTTCTCCCACCCTTTGGGGGTTCAGCTTCCCAAAAAAGACCCCTGTTCGAGAGATCAGCCCTTTGTGGCTTCGTCCTTGATCCCCTCCTGCTAGAGCCTGGCCTGACGGTGCCATGATGGGTGTGGACACCTCTTGTCTCCCGAGCCTCTTTTGGGAGGACAGAACTCTACTTATGGACACAGGTAACAAAGCTTCACGGTGGATGGAATGGGTTAACTCCAACCAGGACAGTGCCCCAAGCAGCAAGAAACAGCTCTTAGAACGGCAACTTCTCCAAAGCTCTTCTTGATGCTAACATTTTATCATGAACTTTGATTTTGCCGTTAAGAAAAAAAATACAGTGCATGTCCTAGAAAGCAGATTTCGTTGAGCCCCTCAGGAACCAGGGCTCAGGGACTTCTGCATAGTAATCACCGAAGCCCTCTTACGGCGCTTGCCTATCTCTTGCTGCAAGCCGGGGGCGGGGGGGGGGTGCGGCTTGGAGAAACAGTTCTACAAGGTGGGAGAGCAGAGGGAAGAAAGCAAGCAACTCACGAAAGGCCTTGGCCAACTGGTTCACCCCTAGGAGCCTAACATTTTACCAATGGAGAGAACGTTACGGTTCAGCTGTTCCACGGGCTCTCAGCTCCTTCTTGCTCCTGACAATCACCCCCAGAAGTCCTGCTGGGATCACTCTGGGGCGAGGGCCCAGAACGCATCAGTATTTCTAAGAGCTCTTCCAGTGACGGGGCTGTGTGTGGTGACTGAGAAGCATGAAGGAGGGGATAGGGGAGCCAGGCACCCACTCACACAGCCTGAAGGGTGGGGGCCTCCAATTCTGAATCAATCAAAGCTTTCAGACCCTCAGCCCCAGAGCCCCCGTCCCTCGCCTCCCTCGGAGAGAGTCTCACCAACCGTCCCAGGTGAGCAGGACGGCCCCTGACCCCCCCTGCCACAGCTGTGGGCCCAGCCACTGTCACTCTGTTCTGGCCCACTTATGGCCTGCCCGATGGTGTGTGATCCGGCCAGAGAGGATCAAAGGGCCGATCACATTCTTCCTCAAGTCTCTCTGGAAGGGGACTTGAGCCACCCAGAAGGAAGCTGTCGGGGTTGAAAGGTCCCGGACACTTAACACCTGGGCAGGCTGTGAGCCTTGCTCGGGGCCCAGAGAGAGGGGCGCACATGCGGGGAGCTGCAAACACCTCGAGAGGGCAGGGATGAAAGCATGTCAGCTCCCAGAGCTTGAGGATTCCGGCTCTGCCCAAGGCCTGTTTACTCAGCTTTTCTCCGATTCCTGGGAGACCTTTCTAGAGCCTCAGAAACGCCCGTTGACGGGAGCCTGTCTCTGTATCACCAAAAGTGTCTTAGTGGGAATGCTCAGGACAAATAAGATTCCACTCTTATCTTTTTACCTTTCAGGGTCTGAGGGAGACTTTGACTGGAAGGTGGAAACAGAAAGGTCTCCACGGTTGCCTTAAATAGAGTGCAGAGGTCAGGGCCCAGCCCCAGCCTCGCTTCACTGAGGACATGGGGCATGGACAAAGGACGGGCAGGTCTTGTGGGCCTGTGTCTGAGCGACACCAGAAAGAGGGATGGTAGGGGCCACCAGAGAGCCCCGCTCGCTCCCTCATGACCGCAGGCATGGGACATGTGACTCTCTGGGGCGGAGGGCTCAGTCAGCCTGGGAAGCCTCATCTCGTCTTGGGCCCATGACGGCTGTGCGTCAGAGTATGAGGGCAAGCTGGCTGGCCCCAAGACGAATTCTCCCAACCGCCCGCTCACTGGCCCTCAGACGTCTCTTCGTACACCCGGAGGGACAGAGGCCGCCGTTCCTCAGACTGGCCCACCCCTCTGCCTTCCATCTCTGCCCAGACACCTCACAAAGGGGACCGGAGCTGGCCATAAGCACATGGCACCTGGAATCTAATGGACATTGTTTCCAGGTGGAAGACTCCCTTTCCTTTCTTCCCATAAATACAACCGATTCCCGGTGTCTAAGCCCAGCTCCCCGCGGTGCATCAACCGACTTCTCCTTGTGGAGCAGACCCGATAGTGAGCTGCAGCTCCGGCCGAGACCGCAGGGAAGGGAGGCGCACATGGAGTGTGGACCAACTTGACTTCCTGTGGACTGGAACCCGTTCCTGCCCAGCCATATAGTTCTCTGTACCTATAATGCTCTCTAGGGACCCTGGAGCAGTTCACGGCCGTGATACTGGCAGACAGTAAGGGAGACAGACATGAGAGAAGGTCCAGCCCTGCCTACCACCCTTAGACTGCTTTGAAATGGCAGCAGCATCGAGGACCCATAAATCAAGGTGAGGATAAGTTTTTGAAAAGAAAACTGCCCAGCTTCCCACCCCAAAGTCCAGAATGTGCATAAAATGCCAGAGCATTTTCTGAGTTTGTGCTTTTGCTGGGTCTGATCCTCTGTCTGTGCCACGGCCACACCATCTTTCCCACACCAGGCAGTCGGACTCCAGAGAGTGAAGGACCAGATCTTATTAGCCTCTGCAACCCCAGAAGCTGGCACAGGGACAGAGAGCTACAAGGAACTCAAAAACATGTCTGATGAATGAACGAGTGTCCCCTAGCCATTCTCCCAGAATCCCCGTAGCCAGGACCTTTGCCCCCCAAGAGCCCCCGTGAGCCCGCAGCCTTACCTCCCATGAGGAAGAGAAGCCCTGCCACATACTGCATAAGGCCCCGGTCCCAGCAGCAGCCCAGCACGCCGATGATCCAGCCGAAGAGGATGATGGCCACCGCCATGCCCATGAAGCCGGCTGTCATCCTGCGCAGATCTGCGGGGAAGCAGGGGGCACAGCGGTTAGCTCCAGAATCTAGACCTCGGGGTCAAGGTGCATCCTGGCCCTGGGCCGAAGTGGGGAGTGGGAAGGCAACCTACGCTACTCAGACAGGTTTGCATCGCCCAGCTCCCTCTGTAGAGGAGAGCGCGCCCGGTTGTAGCTGTCCTTGGGTGCAGAAAGACGGGACAGCTGGGTCCGCAAGCACAGGGAGAGATCGTCATCATCACTGCTGTCATTTCTCATACACCTCCTTGGTGCCAGGTGTAGCACTGTCCTTCCTGAGCATCTGGCTCAGCCGTTGGAGGGGGACGGGTACTGTCTTTATCCCTATTTGAAAATGGATTGAACTGCTGATAGGCATACACGTGGAGAGTGGCAGAACAGGGTATCGAGTCCAGATCTGTATGGCTCCTGGTTGTCCCTGTGTCATCACCCACCTCTCCTGTGGAGGAGGGCGGGGTCTTGGGGGGCTGGCTGCTCCTGCTGGGAGCTCCTTCCTTTCCCTCCCGGGTTGACTGGAGGAAGGAGGAAGCTGCTGCTAGTGTCTTGTTCCTTATCCTCCAAGCCAGCTCCCAGGGGCTCAGCTTTCGCTGTATGTGGGTCTGCAGGGTGGGGAGCCACACGACCTGCTCTCACATGGAGCCTCTGGGCAGGCCTCTTCTGCTCCCAGGACACAGGTCAGCTCAGCTTTCTGGGCCTGGCCTTTTCCCGCTCCACACCTCACTGACTCTGCCGTACAAAGCCAATGTGGGTAAAGGCAGGAGAAGAGCTGTCTGGAGAGGCAGCATTTTCAGAGGAAGGGGGAAGGCAGAGCTGCTCACACATCTCAGCCTCTCCCTCAGCACCTTGCCCTTGACTCTCTCCACTGCCCTCAGTGCATGCCCCCACCCGCCTCCCATGCCCTCCCTGTCATCCAGCCTTCTAACCATCATCCAGCCTTCTAACCGCTGCTTGTCCTTGACTCCCTCCACCCTGCCCCAGCGCCCACCGGCCTGCAGATCCCTGTCCATCTCTTTGGTCCGTGCAGAGCCCATCCACCAGTCCCAGTCCCAGCCCCAGTCCCAGCCCCAGTCCCGCCAATGGGGCCAAACAGAAGCAAACCACCAGCCCAGTCTCTGAGCCCAGCGGGTTGCCAGTGCAGCCTGGAGGACCCCATGGGCATTTCCCTCTCTCAAAGGAAGGGAGGGAGAGTGAGGGTGTAGGGGAGGGCACCCAAAAGCAAACTACATCCACCCCCCAGGGAGACACAGGTCAATCGCCTTGCATCCCCCCCAAGTGCCCGGTTTCTGCACACCATGAGGGTGTCCCATTCCCTCTGTTCCTCTCCCACTCCAGTCACCCCCATCGGGAGCCATGGCAGATCCTGGCACAGTCAGACTAGAGAACGCTCAGCCTTCTCCCCCGACCTGCCACAGAAGATGAGATGCTGGGAGCCGCCCCCCACCCCCACCCCACCGCTGCCAGAGTAGCTGGCTGGGGTATAGGGAGGGAGGGACAGAGGAGAACAGCCTGGATGGGAAGCAGGACAGGACCCCGTGGCAGAGGCAGAAATCCATCCACGGATTTCTGCCACGGATTGCATCCACAGAATCCATCCAGCTTTCTGCTCTAGCTGTTCTCCTCGGTCCTCCCCTCCCCAGCCTGGAATGCCCGCCCCGGCCAGGTAGAAGCAATGCCCATTGTAGTCACTGCCGGGAACTGCCAGAGCTGCCTAATTATCATGCCACACGACACAGAAGGCGATGATCTCCGATGTGTTGGAGGAAGCCGGGGCAGGCGCTGCTCCATCCCAGCGCTCGGATGTGTGCCGCACGTCCCGGGTGGCTCCTGGCCTCCTGCTCAGGCCCCCATGGCCAGCTTGAAGGGAGGAGGTCTGGCAGTCTTGCTGGGTGCACAGGCCCTTATCCTGAGAGCTGACTGCCGTGGTCGTGCTGGCCCCTGTCGCCCCACCTGGCTCCTTCTGCTGCCACCTGCTCAGCCCTTCTTCCTTCGAGGCCACCCACAGTCCTTCGAGGGAGCCAGGCCCAAGCTGCCTCCCTGGTGGAGAAGAAACCCCACCTTGATGCATGAGTCCATTTGGGCTGATCCCTGGAAACGCTTCATCCACTCTCCACTGCAGTCAAGGGCAAGGAGACAGTGGGAGTGGGGAAGGAGAGGTCCGGGTATGTTTGGAGAAAAGTAGGTTCATATCCCCCTTAAACAGATCAGGAAATTTTGTCCTAGGCCCCTGTGAGACCACCGGTTTCCTTTTTGGTGCATGAGGGGCTTCTAATGTCTTGGCCGCTTTGGCAATACTGGAGACAGACAACACTGCTGAAGCCACAAAGCACCCCTCCCTGCACCCCCCCCCCCCCAGCGTGCCCCCCCACCCCGACCCTGCCACCACACCTGGCCTTGCTCATGGGAAGCCTTCCTGGTCCTTAGGCTCTGCCCATCCACGGGACCAAAGGTACTGCCTGGGGGATTAAGTAGACAATGTGTACCATAAGGCGTGTCCCCTTGGGCCTGGAATGGACAAACAGGGCTAGACAGGAAAAGGAAATGCCATCGGAGGAAGCGGAAAGGCCATCATGGTTGCAAGAAGGAAGCCAAGTCTTGGACTTCGAGGAAAAGGCAGAGAGGTAGGGACATGAAGAAGGTAGTTTCTCTTGCAAAAGTTCTGAGACAGGGAACTGTCACCTGTGTCCCAGGTCTGAGAGGGGCTGGGGCCCCTCGAGCACAGATTAGGGGCGCTCTGCCAGCGAAAGCTGAGGGCCGGGCTAAGTTGTTGATCTGGAAAGCAGGATGAAGACCAGAGGTCAGGCCCAAATATTTTCAGTGACCAGGAGGCCTTTTGCCGTCACCCTGTGAGTACGAATTTGCAGGGTGATGCACACGTGGTTGGGTATTTTGTCCTCAGACTTCTGTAGTAATTCAAAGCAGCTGCGGTAACAGCTTGCAAGGGACACAGGACAAGAAATAGTCCTATTTTCTGGACAAGGAAAGCAAGATCCAAAGAAGTTAAATAACTTATCGACAAACCAGTGACATAAAGGGAGAGTGAGCTGTGTGGGAAAATAAAATTAATAACGCAGTTAAGGACCCACTGCGTTGTCATGGAGATTGAACGAATGTATCGAGCATTTCTTCCTCCCAAATACACTGAGGACAATTGTTCTGAGATTTTTTTTTTTTTTTTCAAGGACAGGCATCCACAAGGATGGGCAAACAGGACAGGGAACAACCCAGGACTGGAAGCGGCGAAGCTGGTGGGCAGTGCACTTGGCTAAAGCCAAACCAGACGCGGTGGCGGGCGAGCTGCAAACCAACTGCCCCAGGGCATGGAGGCTCACGAACCCACAGCTGCAGGTTCCTCCGGATCAGGTTAGTTACCCAGAGGGGAGGAGCATCCAGGATGTGGTGGCAGCTGTCTGGATGGAACTAGATCCCCTCATCCACTCCACAATGCTGGGGGACTCCCCAGGGGTTGGGGGGGCCCCCCCAGGGGTTGGGGGGTGCCTAGCACTGGCATTGACAAGCTCAGCAAGGCTCATTCCCTGTAGCTGATTAAGTGGCCGCTCACATACAGAATGCTGAAGGCTTGTCCTTGGGACCCTAGCCCCCGAGTGGAAGCTGGCTGCTGGCCTCTGACGTCCAGCCTGGGGACCAGGAGAAGTCTTTCCAGCGATGACCAGCACAAGAGGAAAGACCTAGGCACCCAGCACTGGGGGAGCCCCACAGGCACCCCTCCCACCATTCTGCAGTAGAGCGTCCCATAGACACCCCCACCCCCCTCAGCGCTTCCCTGCAGCGATCTGGCCCCGCCCCCTGACAACCCAGCGCCTGTAACGGGGGCCAAAGAACTTGAGGAAATAAGCCGCAGAGAGAAGAGGCAATAATTCAAAGTTATTATTAATATTCCCAGAGAGGCAAGACACGAAATGTATTTTGTCTCCATGAAATAAGGACAGGAGTCTACTGAAAACATCTGGAGAACAAAACTAACCCCTTAAAATAGCAGAGTCAAAGTCACTGAAATTGATATTATAAAATCTATTCTAATTTATGTATTACCAGCACTATCATGTTCCTAAGGAAAGACGTAAGGAGGCTTACAAAACACACACGGTGTAACGGGATAAAAATAATGAGAAAACGAAGGGAACAGAAAAGAAAGGGAAGAAGAATCTGGATCTCACATGCTCGTGGGAGATCTTTGTAAAGGAAATGATGCTGGCTGTACCTGAGCTGAAAGGCAATACGTGTGGTTTCCACTGTCTTAAAATCTTTGTTGTTTCCCGTTTGCACTTGAGTGAATCCCGCGTGTCACTCTGCCTGTGGAACGGGCCAGGTGCCAACGACAGCCCCCATTCCTGCCCATCCGCACTGCCCTGTGTGCCTACTTCCTCTCCTCAGGACTAAGAGACCTCCTGGTTCCCTCTGTGACTGCTGATGGCACCCACGGCAGGGCTCTGTACCCAGGAATGTACGTAGCTTCTATCTCATTCCCCATTTCTTCCTGCCTTTTTAGAGAAGAAAGAAAACCCAACTCATGTATCTGAAACCTTGTTAGAATACCATGCAGGGTCGAGCTAAGAAAAATCCCCTTAGAAAGAGGCCGGGATAGAGCTGAGATAGAGAAAAATCTTCTCATGAACCCTCTTGGGTTGGAGCCCATCATCTGTATTCCAGGACCCAGATGCTTAACATTCTAAGTTTTGAAACGAGAAAGGTGCATTCTCAACTTTTAGAAAAAGCATTTAGTTCAGCACAGTGGAAATGGTGCGCAAAGGGGGCTGGATAATGAGGGAGGGTGGAGGAGGAAAGGCAAGGGGAACCATTAAATAGAACCAGAAAAAGCAGTTCTCCCTCACAGAAAATTTTGATTTTGAAGTTTACGGTCCTATTAACATTTAAATTGAAAGGTATTGCTTGCAACTCTACATGGGAAACCAGGGTATCTGCACTTAAATAAATACCACTTAGAGAAGGAAAATATATATAGGCTCTGAATA